GTGCTGAGGGTGCTGGATCCCACTGACCTTGTCACCAACCAAATGTTGAACAGGATCAGTCCCAACAGCAAGCCCTGAGGGCACCACTCGTCACTGGTCTCCACTTGGACATCGAGCCATTGACCACAACTCTCTTGAGTGCAACCATCCAGCCAGTTAATTCCTCATACACAGAGTGGTCCATCCATCAAATCCACTGTACATACACTCTACTGTGCTTCAGGCACTGCAGAAAAAGTACTTTACCTCTAGTTTTTGCTTAGACCCATCTGTCTGTGCTGGGTTTGCTTGGTTTCACAGTGCTGTTAACAACTTGAGGGGTCACTGCAGGTAGCAAGGCTGTAATAAAGTGCTCCTCATCCCTGTGGAAGGGGCTGGAAGGGTGAGAAAGGAGATGAAACTTTCCTACTTGCACAGTAACATGCTAAGAAGGATCAACACTGTGAAAGGAAATGTAGGGAGAACTCCAGGGTGGTTCAGTGGGTTTCTGCTGTTGCCTCCATCAGTGACTCACTGAATGACAAAATCACTTCATTTTTGTTCCTCTGGTGAGCAAGTGCAAGAGGAGGAGGAGAAGGAGGAGGAGGAAGAGATGGAGATGGAGGAGAAGGATGATGGAGCTGTTCATTGCATTGGGATGCTTAATTTTGGGATTATTATAATACTCTGTTTCCATAACAAATGAGCTTCCTGTGATCTCTGGGAAGTGCTGATGGAAAAGAGCCACATTTGGGGGGGGGGGGGGGGGGGTGTTGAGTGTGTATCCCATTGGATTTCTTTGTGTATTACACCCAGTTTAGTCACCAGCTGAAAGAACATCCAGGGTCTGAAGCCCAGGAGTATCCGTGATGTTAAAAGCACTGTGAAATGCTGGGATTTGTCTGCTTTTTTGCCCGTTGAAAATGATCTGCACTAACCACCCACTAGAATAGAGGAGGAGAAAGTTAGCGTGAACTAATAGGTGCTGTTCTCCTGGAATCACAGAATGGTTTGGGTTGGAAGGGACCTCAGAGATCAGCTGGTCCCAACTGGTGCAATTGGCTGTGCCTGTGATTTTACATCTCTAGAACACAATCCCTTGTCTCTTGGCTCACTCCACATTCCTGCAGGCAAGGAAATGAAGAACCAGACTCGTTTCCACATGGAGCAGCTTTTGGAGCCACACGAGTAATGTGTAGATCAGGAAATAACACATTGGAATCATGGCAAGTGGTGAAATGTGGTGTTGAGAGAACTCGGTCTGATGTTTGTTTGTCTCCTCAGATAATAAAGCTCAAAGCAGAGGCTCGCCTTGACCTGCTGAAGCAGATTGGGGTGTCCGTGGACACGTGGCTGAAGAGCGCCATGAACCAAGTGATGGAAGAACTGGAAAACGAGCGCTGGGCCAGCCTGCCCTCGGTGACCAACAACGGCTCTTCACACCTGGTAGGGGTCCCACCGTGTCAGCCCCACCTCGTCTCCATGTGGCTCCTTCCTAGTAGCAATTCCTAATTCATATTGATCATAAATCACAGAATCCCAGATTGGTTTGGGTTGGAAGGGACCTTAAACCTCCTCCAATCCCAACGGGCAGGGACCCCTTCCACTAGAGCAGGTTGCTCCAAGCCCCTGTGTCCAACCTGGCCTTGAACACTGCCAGGGATGGGGCAGCCACAGCTTCTCTGGGCACCCTGTGCCAGCGCCTCAGCACCCTCCCAGGGAAGAGCTTCTGCCCAAGAGCTCATCTCAGTCTCCCCTCTGGCAGGTTAAAGCCAAGCTGATATTAGGTTGGTTGTTAGCAAACTGAAAGGTCTCGTAGCTTCACATGGTTGGAGCGTGTCTGATTTCATGCAAGAAAACCCCAAAGGAAAAGAAGAAGGATTTCTGGTTTCTGTTGCTGAGTTTACTTTAGATTGATTTTTCCAACCTTGGAGAAGTGCCATAACATTTATTTGCCATCTCCTGAAAAGAAAAATGTCTGTGTGCTTCTTTGATGTTTCATTAATCGTTTACGATGTTATCTGAGCTGCTTGGCTGAAAGGCTTTATTCTTCCAAATGTTTAGAGAACTGTTGACTCTACATCGTCTCCTAAAGAGTCGTTTAAGTAGAGATGGCAGTGAAAGTCATCAAGAGAGCAAAGCCTGGCTTCCACATTGATTTGGGTATCTGAGATGAAAAATTAATTCACTAGATATCAGCAGAAGGCTTTGGAAAACAGGTTGTTCATTCCTGTGAGCAGGATTAGGTGTTTCCCTCAAAGATTTCATTAAATCACAGGAAGGGTTTGTGTTGGAAGGGATCATAAAGCTCCTCCAGCTCCAACCCCTGCCCCGGGCAGGGACACCTTCCACTAGAGCAGGTTGCTCCAAGCCCCTGTGTCCAACCTGCCCTTGAACACTGCCAGGGATGGGGCAGCCACAGCTTCTCTGGGCACCCTGTGCCAGCGCCTCAGCACCCTCACAGGGAACAGCTTCTGCCTCAGAGCTCATCTCAGTCTCCCCTCTGGCAGGTTCAAGCCATTCCCCTTGGCCTGTCCCTACAGGCCCTTGTCCAAAGCCCCTCTCCAGGTCTCCTGGAGCCCCTTTAGGCCCTGGAGCTGCTCTAAGGTGTCCCCTTCAGGAGCCTTCTCTTCTCCAGCTGCCCCAGCCCAGCTCTCTCAGCCTGGCTCCAGAGCAGAGCTGCTCCAGCCCTCGCAGCAGCTCCGGGGCCTCCTCTGGAGCTGCCAATACCAACAAAGAAAAGAGAAACTGCTGAAGACCTCCCGGTACCTTTCTTTTCTTTCACCCCTCCCATGGCCGGCCCTGCTGAGCTGGCACCTCTGGCACTAGAACTCACCCATCTGTTGCTCTTCACCAGTAACCAACTGAAGTAAAATTCCTGAAGGTTTGGTCAGTTTGCCTCAAATCAATCTTAGATTCTCTCTTTGTGTTTATGTATTTCCTATTTAACACCATTCAGAGGCTTTTATAAAGTCTTTGTTTGCATGTGGGTACTTTCCTAACTATAGTCTTCTTAGGGTATTAAAATGACTTCATTCAGACTTTATCTGAAATTCAGATTAATCTTAGGCTTTGGACACCCAGAATGTATCTTTTGTACAGGAAAACTTCCAGGGGGAGCAGGGATGTGGTTTTTCATTGCATTGCAGATGATTTGCTTCCTTTTGCTGACCACCTAAAAGAAACAAAATCTCCATTTCAGCAAGAACGTGGTATCTACACACAGAAAATTCCTGCTCATTCCCATGTTTCTTTGTGCTTTTCTGCTTCTTGGTAATGGTGGCAAACCCTTAGAGGGAAAGGGGTGGTTTTGGATGTAGAGGTATTGTCATCTCTGTCACTTTAGTTCAAAGAAGGAAGTGAGCACTGGATGGAATCTGAGCAAATGCTTCCCAAATCCACTCTTTGCTGTCTTCAGGCTGTTGGGATGTTTCTGCAAGGACATTACACAGAGCTGAAACACAGTGGCAGCGATGGGCAGGAGAGGTTGTTGTAGTCACTACTCGGTGTAGTCTGTCTCTGCTTTAATCCCATGGTTAGTGGTACAATTAGAGCTTAAAGTTGCAGTATTCAGATCCACGCTCCAGCCTTCCCAAATCCCAAAGGAGTTCTTGTGCTGAGTTTCCTTTCAGATCCTTTCTGGCCAGGATAGATGAGGATGTGTTACATAGCTGTGTTTAACAGTGCCTTTTTCCCCTTCCTTCTTGTACTCCACCTCCTTCACTTCCCATCGTGCATGTTGGAATGTGCCCAATGCCTTGTTCTCTGTCTCATCACACGTGCCAAGAGCCAGCCCTGGAGCCAAACCCTGCGCTAGTCCCTGGTGAGCCAGCAGATGCCACAGAGTGGGAGGCTAAACCCTGAGCCTTATTTTCCCCTTTTACACTTACGTATGCTCCTGTGTGAAAACAAGATACTGTTGACCTTGGCAGCCCAGCTGAGGACAGCAGGAGATGGAATTCGTAGAAGGCCAAAGGCCAAAATTACGCTGCTTGCAGTTATTAGAGGCATTGCTGCAGCGTGTAACGAGCAGCAGTTTCACTGCACCTTTGAGGGGTGAGCAGTGTTCACTGCTCAGAAGCCAGGTACCCACCACCTTATGTCGTAGCCAGGTTTGCTCTCTGATGCAGTGCTGGCCATAATAGCATTTGTTCAGCAAAGCTCTCCATGTATTTCCTTTTAAAGAGTGAAAAAGGAGAAAGGAAAGTCAGTGCCTTCATCCTGCTGTGTTTATTTAGCATAGTAAGTGATGTAACAAGCTGAAGGAGTTAATAGCCCATTCCCTATCCAGGGGGCTGACTTTGTGGTAGAATCACAGAATCCCAGAGTGGTTTGGGTTGAAGGGACCTTAAAGCTCCTGTCCCTCCATCCCTTGTCCAAAGCCCCTCTCCAGGTTTCCTGGAGCCCCTTTAGGCACTGGAGCTGCTCTAAGGTCTCCCTTAAGGAGCCAAAAGGACTTGACTCAGCAATCATAGAATCATACAATTATGTAGCTTGGAAAATAGCTATCAAGTCCCTATATATATATATATACATATATATGATGATCTTAGATAGTGATCTGGAGCCAAAAGGACTTGACTCAGCAATCATAGAATCATACAATTATGTAGCTTGGAAAATAGCTATCAAGTCCCTATATATATATATATATACATATATATGATGATCTTAGATAGTGATCTGATATCTATATTTACATACCTTTTTTCATATGTATAATCAAACTATCTCATCACTTTCTACCTGCATTTATTCTCGTCTGTGCTGTTTCATACCTTCAGTGTAATTGTGTCTCATGCATTTATTCCTTGCATATGCTGTCTTTCATCACTAATCTCTGCTGAAAGATGAGTTTTAGGAAACAAGCTGCTTCATTTTCTGTGTCACTGATGCTGTTTTCTCTCTTTGCAAACGATTCCGTTCAAGGAGTTTGAGCAGCCCCCACACTGAAAATGAAAATGTCATTTTCTGCCTCATGTTAGGAAACCAGGAGCAGATGTTTTCTGAAGGACTCTTTCTAGACATGATACACTCATTTCCATGATGTTTCGTGTGGCTGTCAACTGGGTGTCAGCTCCAGCTGCTGAGACATAGACCATGCACAGCAAAAGGCACTTAGAAAACCAGAGAGGGAAACCTTACATTTGCCATAGTTTCTGCTCGGTTGGGAGTACATCAAAGCACGAGGCAGGGCAGTGATTTGCTGTTACAGCAACATCCATCAACACATTCAAGTAGCAACAAATCAAGCAACAAACTTGAATCATAGAATCAATGAACTCAAAGAGACCTTTAAGCTCATCGAGTCCAACCGTTGCCCAGCTCTGCCAAGGGCACCACTAACCCGTGGCACTGAGGCCTCACTGAAAATGTGAGGGGGAAATAATCATCCAAATTACCAGATTTTAGTCTAAAAATTGCAACATTACAAATGAATCTGAGTTGGAAAATGATGAAGTTTTGTGCTTTCCCACCCCAGGTCTAGATGAGCACAGATGCTGCGGAGCAGAGATACAGGGTCACCTCGTCTGGGGATGCTGCCTTTAGTCTCAGCCTAACTCTGCGTTGATTTATCAGCCCTCCATGAGGAATACCAAAATCACTCCCAGATTTAAAGGAATGTGTAAAGGGAAGATGGCAAATACACATACCCCACAGGGTTGCCTTTGATTGGAAGGATTGGCCTGCTTTCACATGAGATGAAGTGTTTGTTCAGGATTTAATCCAGGCACGAGGCCAAAGCACAGCTCATGTCACTGCTGCCCCAACTGCACTTAGAGAAACTGGTATTTTTCCAGTGTCTTGACTTGAGGTTCTGTTTAAACTTTTACACCTAGTTTTTAATCATCATTCTTCCTCTGAGGATTGTTGTTTCTTGCAGCAAACCCATTGTGCAGAACACACCAGTTAGAAGGCTTATTTTTCAAGTTTTTAATGCTTATTTTTGTCACTTCTAAGTATTTCCATTGGGGTTTCATTTCAGATTCCTCCTTACAAGTACATTCATCTTTAGTAGCAGAAATTCTCAGTCAGTGACTCTTCTTTCCCTTAAACTCTTTGCTGTGCCTCTCAAATTGCATCTCCAAAGGACACGACTCCCTGTTTGTAGCTTATGTAGGGGATAAATAACTGTCCATCAGTTCAGCTGGAGCTTCCGAAGTCTTCTCTGGTTCTTTCTGAAGTCCACAGGCCTGTGCTTGAATGGGAAAACACATCTGAGTTAGGCAAAGATGTAACTCGGTGACAGCTCTTACTCTTTTGCTTCCCTGTGTTTGCTTTGTTTGATGACTTTCCTCACATTAGTTGGGAATCATATGTTGAGTATTACATAGTCATTGGGAGGTTTGTCCAGTTTGAATAAACATAAGTAGCAAAAACCACACTGAAGAATAATGATCAATTGATTTTTATTGTTATGCCTTTTTTATTTGATGATCTGATACCAAATTTCATTTGTTCTAACAGATAAATGCTGATGCAGAGAAGGAAGAAGGTGAAGAGTTTGAAGACAGCATGGATGTATTTGATGACAGTAGTTCTAGTCCTTCTGGTACTCTAAGGAATTATCCTCTCACCTGCAAAGTTGTTTATTCATACAAGGTTTGTGAGTTATTCTTTTGTGTTTATTTGATTGGAAAACTGAATTATGCGTCGGACAGAATAGATGTAACTGTGCCCATGGGACTTTGACAGGATCAGGGAATCCCAGACTGGTGTGGGTTGAAGGGACCTTAAAGCTCCTCCAGTCCCAACCCCTGCCCCGGGCAGGGACACCTTCCACTAGAGCAGGTTGCTCCAAGCCCCATCCAGTGTCAGCATTTGACTCAGTAATTAAATACATCTAACACCTAGTTGTGAATAACTGCAGCAGTAAGCTCCACACCACTGTGAAACACATTTAAACTACAGCTCAGCAGAGTCCTGACGTCTGTTCCCTATTTGCAGCTTGCAGAGATGTCCCTGCCTGGCTTCAGGGCCACCAGCTGCGTGTCTGCTGTTACAAGCTGTTGTAATTTCTGTTGCTGAGCCGCTGGGGCTGTAGTAGAAATGCCTTCTCAGGATCAGGCTGCATGACAAAGCTCCTCTTTGTACTGTAATAATGAAACCACCATTCATGAGTTAGAGCTTTGCTGACAAACTGCATTCAAGCTGTTTACGTCTGCTAGCACTGCTAGGTCAGTTGTAAATCACACCACTGTGGAGCCAAAGCCAGTGGCAGATGTAATGTTAGAGCACGGAGTAATTAGAGATCCCAAAGTAAATGGGGTTTGACACGCTGGTGCTGTTCAGAGTGCTGCTGGCTATCCTCCTGAGTCAAAAAGGGCCTTGTGAACATCAGCAGATGTATAGAAGAACACTTACAGAATGTTTTAAACTATGCTGTCACATAGAATTTTCACTTCTTGAAAACATAAGCTTTAATAAGAGTCTGGATGAGAATGTTCTTTCTCCTGCCTGTCCTGCACACCTGGATTTTCTCATCTTCCTGTAATATACTTCAGGCTTCTCAGCCAGATGAACTGACCATAGAGGAACATGAGGTATTGGAGGTTATAGAAGATGGAGATATGGAAGACTGGGTAAAGGTATCAGTTTTCTGAGATTGTTTTCTTTTCATCGAGTCGTAATAGAATGGTTTGGGTTGGGAAGGACCTTAAAGCTCATCCAGTTCCAACCCAGGGAAGAGCTTCTGCCTCAGAGCTCATCTCAGTCTCCCCTCTGGCAGGTTCAAGCCATTCCCCTTGGCCTGTCCCTACATCCCTTGTCCAAAGCCCCTCTCCAGGTCTCCTGGAGCCCCTTTAGGCCCTGGAGCTGCTCTAAGGTGTCCCCTTGAGGAGCCTTCTCTTCTCCAGCTGCCCCAGCCCAGCTCTCTCAGCCTGGCTCCAGAGCAGAGCTGCTCCAGCCCTCGCAGCAGCTCCGGGGCCTCCTCTGGCCTCGCTCCAGCAGCTCCACGTCCCTCTTGTGTGGGGACACACTGAAGTCAGGTCATGGGGAGCTCCTCCTCACCCAACACCCCAAGTCCTTCTCCTCAGGCTGCTCACAATGATTTCACTATTACTTCTAGAAACAAAACTTGGGACGGGAGAAGTCTTTGGATTCTTTTCAGAGCCATATGCAAAACCAGAGGATCTTTTGTGTCCTTCACTTCCAGGCACGGAATAAAGCGGGTCACGTAGGTTATGTGCCGGAGAAGTACCTGCAGTTCCCAACATCCAGCAGTCTGCTGAGCATGCTGCAGTCCCTCGCCGCACTGGACAGTCGATCACACACCTCAAATAACTCCACTGAGGCTGACTTGGTCTCAGGCAGCCTGAATGGAGACTCCAGTGGTAAATACCATAAAAACCTAAATTGTTTATCAAGCTTGTTCTCCAAAGGATTCTGCTTGTTGAGTTTGGATGTTGCATGTGAGAACTCTCCTATTTGACCTGTATCAGTACAACTGTTCTCAGAGTTTATCTGTCTCATATTAAACCTGCATATTTTACCTCACAGAGTTGAGATTAACTAAAATTAAGGAAAACCAAAATCATAGAACCATAGAATAGTCAGGGTTGGAAAGGACCTTAAGATCATCTAGTTCCAACCCCCTGCCATGAGCAGGGACACCACACACTAAACTATGTCACCCAAGGCTCTGTCCAGCCTGGCCTTGAACACCTCCAGGGTTGGAGCATTCACAACTTCCTTGGGCAACCTATTCCAGTGCCTCACCAAAATCCCAGACTGATTTGGGTTGATGGGACCTTAAAGCTCCTCCAGCTCCAACCCCTGCCATGGGCAGGGACACCTTCCACTAGAGCAGGTTGCTCCAAGCCCCTGTGTCCAACGTGGCCTTGAACACTGCCAGGGATGGGGCAGCCACAGCTTCTCTGGGCACCCTGTGCCAGCGCCTCAGCACCCTCACGGGGAAGAGCTTCTGCCTCAGAGCTCATCTCAATCTCCCCTCTGGCAGGTTCAAGCCATCCCCCTTGTCCTGTCCCTACATCCCTTGTCCAAAGCCCCTCTCCAGGTCTCCTGGAGCCCCTTTAGGCCCTGGAGCTGCTCTAAGGTGTCCCCTTCAGGAGCCAAAATCATTTGATTTGTCAGTTACAGAATCATAGAATCATGTTGTTTGGAAAACACCTTTGAGATCATCAAGTCCAACTCTAAAGTGTGTGCAGTGTGTGGGTCTTTATGCCTCTGCCAGTTATGCTTTTATGTTTCCTCTTCCCCTCTTCAGTCTGTTTTGTGAAAGCACTTTATGATTACGAGGGCCAGACGGATGATGAACTGTCCTTCCCGGAAGGAGCCATCATCCGCATCTTGAACAAGGAAAATCAGGATGATGATGGCTTTTGGGAAGGAGAATTCAACGGGCGCGTTGGGGTGTTCCCATCAGTGTTAGTCGAGGAGCTGACGGCCTCCGAAAACGGGGAGACTCAGTGGATTGGAGATATTCAGGTATGGAAAGAGGTGAGGTGGTGGCTTGAACGTGTGCTATGAGTTTGTTAGGGCAGTTTTGCAGTGCTGCAAAGATCTGCTGCTGCTTGAGGGGAAAAACCCCAACTTGGGACCAATACAAGAATAAAAAAAAACCCAGAAATAACTTAAATAAAATAAATCAGAACTTATTTAAGGGAAAAAAAACAAATCAGAACCAATGTAAGAAGAAAAACCCAAACCCTGAGTGCTTCACTTCCAGTTTCTTCCCCAGCCTGATAGTGACCAACTGATGTATTTTAGCAAACGTGATGGGTTTGTGAATAAAGGCAAGTATTTGGCTAGAAAGGAAATGAAGCCAAGGAGGAAATTCCCAGTCTACCTCCTGTACTGAATTTATGGCATAGACTGAGACATCAAACACAAGCTGGCAAAAAGAGCATTCCAGGCTCCCTCAGCCCTCATTTAATGTTTTCATACTGAAATCTGTTCTGTCTCCTCTCAAGTTGGGAAGGGCAGAATGCTGTCAAAGAGTGAATTACAGTGATTTTTGCCAAAACGGCTTCATTTCATATTTTATTCTTCTATTAGAAAATCAGACGCATTCTCCTGTGTAATTGTGCTAGAGACTGGATTTCTGTGTGCCCTACAAAGTAATTTCTCTGGTATTTTTAGTCTTTGGTCAGAGAAGACCATGAAGACCTCACTTTTAGATGATATATGTGATAAAACTCATGATCTTAAATAAAGCTTTTGTGTGAGAGGCACACTTGGCCAAGTGGCTTTTCAGCTGACCTTCACAAAGTCTAAATTACCTGGGAGAGGATGAAAATCTCTGCTCAGTGGCAACCTGTGATTTAAAACTAATGCAATCACTGTTGGATATCTTGGTTTTCCTCCTCAAAACCCTTCCTGACAGCACTTTTGACACGTAGTGTTTCTCCACATGAAAGCTCTTGTGTACTGATGTGTCAGTTCTAGTGTAGGGATGTGTCAGACAACTGGCTGTGCCTCGGGGGTAGATAAAAGCTGTTGAGGAGTGAGGTTTGCTGCAACCTCTGTCTCTTCTTCCCACAGGTATCCCCAACTCCAAAGCCTAATCATGCCCTTCCACCGCTGCCCCTCTACGACCAGCCTCCCACTAGTCCCTACCACAGTCCGGATAAAGGAGGTTCTCAGTACTTCCCCAGATCACCCTCAACTAATGGTGAGACTTTTTGGGATGGCAGAAGAAACAGTTCAGCAAAATGCTTCATTTAGAATGTTCAGATTTCATAGAGGGGGGAAAACCAGAAGCTTTATTTGCAACCTAAAGTTAATTCAGCAATACCAAGGGGCTTGTTTGTGATGGGTTGTTCCTTCCCCCTTCAGAAAACAGCTTCAGCTCAGAGTCCCCTGGATTCTCACAGCCTCCAAGAATTCCTCCTGAAAGTTCATATGGAAAGCTGCGACCTGTGAGTTCAAACCAAGTATTGATGTTTTTATTGAGGCTACAAAAGGCATAAAGCCAAGTTTAGGTGGGACAGGACGGGTACGTTCAAAGCAGGGGGTGATGCAGCACCCAGTGATCTGGCTCTCTGTGTTCTGCAGATACAATTACTATGTATTAAAACATGTTCTCTCAGATGAATGCTGCAAGGGAACGTCTATTCACTCCCCTTTGATAATAGCACAGATGTGTCAAAAAGCTGGAGAACACGAGAGCTATTGGAGATGAAGTGAACACTAGAACAAAACAAAGCTGCACTTGTTCAAACACTTTGTCATTGTGTTTAAAGATGACCTTGAATCTTACCCATCCCCTTTGCTTCATCTGAGCTGCCCTTCTGCTGCTGCCTTTGTAGTTGTGATACCTCCGTGTCTCTGCATGAGGCATGTGGATCATGAAATCTAACCTGGGAGGAAATTACATCTATAGTGAGAGTGAAATAAATGGTAGTCGATAAACTTAGAGTGCCTTTGCAGGCATTGGAAGGTTATTTTTGTCCTTGACACATATAATAACCCCTGAACAGAGCTGAAAAAGAGGGAGAATAAATGCCAGAACCATTTAATTATATCATTTGTACAATTCTCCTCCAGTGCGCCAGCACACAGATCTGCTTGCCAGCAGTTTGAGGTTATGTGGGGACTCCATTGCACTTAGGGTTAAATTTACTTCCAAACCCCTTGATTTGAGGAGTTTGGCTTTAAAATTCTAAATTATAGTATCTGTATATTCTGTTATGTCTTTGCTGCCTTGAAAGAGAGATTTTTGCCAGAAAAGGAAAAGGAAGAATTTAATCACTTTAGGACTTGCAAACTCCATCTCCTAGGATGAACTTTGAAATCAAGTTTGGCGTGGTTTCAAACTCCTAAATCAAATCATACTCAGTTGTATTTTCCTGGCATCCTCAATGGTTGCAGATAAAGAGTATTTTGGGCTATTCATAAGTTATATTCTGAATATCCAGTAGTCAGTGAGTTACCTTTATCCACAAGGCAGAGGAGGTGCTGCATCATTTAGTGCACAAGTATTGAACAGAGAAGTTTCATATTCCCTTGTAAAAAGATGCTGATTCAACTTTTCCATTTAATAGCTTTGTATTTCATGCAATTTAGTGCCTTTTCAAGATACTACTCCAGTGTCAGGCCTTAATTGAAAGGATTTCTGTTAGTTTTGCATTTTAAATAGGCCAGGTTTGAAAACATTATGTAGTTTATTATGCTATTGCTCCACAATTCATGTTTTCCATAGCAAGTCACCCCAGTGTATTCTGCAATCACGTGCCAAAAACCCTGCTTGAAATGCTGTTAGCGCTTAAGATAAGCTCTATCAGGAGCAATAATAACTTCATTGATGTGGCAGAGCGTAAATATAGCATCAGATTTCAGGTTGTGTATCCTTCAGGTCAGGGATTGAGTAAATACCAATAAGCCACTTAGATGCAACAAGACATTGTTGTAGTTTTCAGTCCACGTGAGTTCCGGGCAAGGGCATCATCAGATTTCACCATTTGATGTAAGATCCAAAGCCTGTCCCAGGTTTAGGTACTGGATTATCCATGGGTACATCAGAATAGGCAGGATACTTCACCTGGTGTGTTTGCCCCGTTGTAAGTGCTCGTTGTCCTGGAGGTAAAACCACCCAAGAATGGGATCGAGAAGAGCCTTAATGGCTTAACTGGGGATGACTGGACCTGAATTCACCTGGTTTCTCACTGTAGTTCTGTTGATCTTCATATATAACCTGTATATTTGCTTCATCTTGAGGTATGAGCCTAAAATTGCTGGTTTAGTCTGTCCAAGCTCTGAAATTCTCCGATAGTTACAGGCTGGTTCTGGCTGTTTCAGGTACGAGCAGCTCCACCACCCCCAACACAGCATCACCGCCGGACCACAGAGAAGATAGAGGACGTGGAAATTACTCTGGTGTAACGATGGGACTAGTTAAGTAGTAGTGCTACAATCAAGACCAAACGTGATATTTGGTCAAATCTCAGTTTTTAGGCACCTTTGCATGATGAAGACTTTGACTAGAACAAGAGATAGGGAGGATTTTATGTGGCAGTGACCTGGTGGACTCCTTCCCGCAGTCATGACTATTTTGTGCCTTTTGATTTTGTTGGTTTGATTTATATACATCATTCTTCCTCTCTTAGCACAAAGCAGGACAGGCCAAACAGCGAGCAGAGGATTGCCTTGGAGCAGGTTTCTCTCTTGGCTGAAGATGGTCAGTTCTTGTATGGAGGCTGAGGAGAAGAGCCTCCTTCATGCAACTTAGTCATAACGTCCTTCGACCACGTGCATTAGTACAGTATATTACTGTTGCCATAGGAATGTGTTAAAAGATTGTCAGTTCTTCAAGTAGCATTTACTTGTCTGATTAGGGATTAATCAGATTTGCAGAGTGAAAAGAAAGGGAACCGAAATAAGTATAAATAGAGGCTGGCTCCTCTTCAATCCCCTTGCAGAAAGGAAGAAACAGGCAAAGAATCTTGTAGATGAGGCAAACTGATGCAGATCATCCATTAATGCACACCTCTTCAATGATGAGCAGTTCAACTGTTATGTCCTTTGTATTAATATTTATGCAGTACATTTAGGAATAGAGTATCTAATACGGAGGTGCTGAATTAGTAACAACATCTTGTTCCATAGCATAAACCAACTGGTAGAAAAGTAAGTGAGATTTTTGTCTAGATCTGGAAATTGAGCTTCTTTTTGTTCTTTTCTTAGCAGGTTTTTTGGGGGGGTTGGTTTGGTTTTTTGTTTCCCAAGTCTTTGGGTCACTCTTCTCCCAGTTATTGCCATGTACTTTATTATCCATCATTAGCAGTGTATCTTTGGCATCAGAACATCTTAGGAGTTACATGTAGAGTATCTACATGCATTAGTTAGTTTTGGCATTGGATGGTCCTGTAGCGTATTCCCACATGACACCCATTCATTAGCCAAAGCCAGGGAGCCAGGAGAACCATTGGCTCCTGTGAAGCCTTCAGGCCACCTTGGTGGCCAAGACCACGGTCTCCATTTACTCTTATAGGCAAGAAATAGAGAGGAAAGGAACTTCCCGACTGATTCTCAATTGGGATCTCTGAAAAAAGGAAGCTTTCTGGTATTGAAACGGTCGGAGGAGAGGGAAAAACTGGATGAAAAGGGGTTTTCTTTATGTACTTCCTCAGTGATTTTCGGCAATCATCTCCATCAGCTAAAAGGCATCATCACAAGGTTGGGTTTGTTTCAGCTGTTGTAGGGGTTCTGTTGGATGTGCTCTTCTGTCTTCATTTTCTTTCCTAAGCCACTATGTTCTCTTACCTTTACTTTACTAACAAGGGCTATTTTTTGAGGCTGCATTTACAGAAAACAGAGAAAGAATAAACCATCAGACCAGGTTTTACCATACACTTTGCACATACTTGTCAGTCCCACCCCAGGCTGGCTCCCAGACACCCGTGTTTGCCAATCTCCTTTCCCAGTGGGATCTTGAACCTAGAGTGGAGCTGTTCGAAGAAACCAATTCATGGATCAGTGCTGCAATCAGTGACTGTCCAATGAAGCCTTTCCCATAAGTGTCGTTCTGTTGCACCTCTTGTCCTGTTGATCTGTTCGAGGTCTTTTTTATGTGTTTTATCAAACTTATTCTTAAGTTTAAAGAAGAAAAAGAAGTTTTTAAAGAGAAAAAGGATTTAACTGCAAACAATTTTGAAAGCTTCCCGATGCAGAAGAACAAGTATTGCCATAATAACGTTCACCTTCGCTTTCTTTGGCCAGTTTTTCTTGTGTCCTTCATACCTGGACTTTCAGAAAAGCAGGAAGTGTTATTTAAAGTCTCTTTTAGTTGTATTTTAAGATATTTTCTGTAAGAGCTGCTAATTTTATTTAAAAAAGAAAAACAGACAAAAAAAAAAGAGGAAGAGAAGTTGTACAAATCTGCCTCCTTTTTAACTATGATTTTCTTCATACAGGGCATGTATTCGACGTCTCATCGTGTACAGCGTCAGTACACTGAAAGCATAGGTGCAAGATGCTTTCTTTATATTGGCTGTAAAAAGTTTGTATTTATTATGTATAAAAAGTTGAATAATAAAAAAGTGGAAGTAAATCCTTGATGCAGGAGCCATTGTAGAAGGTTTGGGCGTCGATCCGAAGGGAAAAACAGGAATTTGGGGATAAAAATGGACATTTTCTTGGCTGTTGCTTCTGTGGGTTGTGGTTTTACGTAGAAATGTGAATCTACTGCTCAGGAAAAGCCTTCTGCACAACCTTAAAGTGGTCTTTAAACATCCCTTTAAGGTGGTATTTATGGGAGGAGCTAAAATCGTGTCCCAAATGAAGAGCCTGTAACAAAGCTCCACTTAGCAAAAGAACTGTTTAATTGCCTTGGTGCAATTAGAGTAATTGCACAAAGAAAGAGAGGGATTGATGATAACTCTTCAGTTATTTAATAGGCTTGATTTGCCTAATTGTGTGAGGAGAATCCCGCTGCATCCCAAAGCCCTCCCGCTTTAGGGTCCCTTTTTTGCTCTGGTTTTCCATGTCGTTTCTTCCTGGTGCTCAGAAGCTCCTTCTTGGCTCATTCCAGTTCCTCAAGGTTGGGTGTTTTGGCATTAGGTGCCAAGTGATCCGTGAGCTCCACACACTTATTTCCTCCCCAGTTTTGCTTCCAGCTGTTTGGAGTCAAGACTCTTTTGCCCTGTTTGAACCCACTGCCTGCATGACTGGCCACACTGGGTTGGGCTGGATCTTCAGTCTTTGGTTTCCACTCTCCACACCAAACATTACGTGGACTTTCATCGCTTTTTGTCCCCTGAGCTCCTGCAGCTTCTTCCTCTGAGAAGTCCCATCTTCCCATACGTGTTCACAGTGCTCCTCCAAATGTTACTGTCCTGGCTGGCTGCTCGTCCTTTTCTTTTCATAGAACCCCGGACTGGTTTGGGTTGAAAGGACCTTAAAGCCCCTCCAGTTCCAGGCCAGGGGCAGGGACCCCTTCCACTAGAGCAGGTTGCTCCAGGCCCCTGTGTCCAACCTGGCCTTGAACACTGCCAGGGATGGGGCAGCCACAGCTTCTCTGGGCACCCTGTGCCAGCGCCTCAGCACCCTCCCAGAGAAGAGCTTCTGCCTCAGAGCTCATCTCAGTCTCCCCTCTGGCAGGTTCAAGCCATTCCCCTTGGCCTGTCCCTCCATCCCTTGTCCAAAGCCCCTCTCCAGGTCTCCTGGAGCCCCTTTAGGCCCTGGAGCTGCTCTAAGGTCTCCCCTTCAGGAGCTTTCCCTTCTCCACTGGCTTTGCTTCCCAGATTTTCAAAAGGAATAATGAGCCTGAGAATTCAAAAGGAGTGATGGGGGTAAATGATACAACATCACCTCACTACACCTGAATTATGCCAGGGTTTCTTTCTGATCGTTTCATGGGGTTATTAACAGAAACCCAGGCACGTGGGTGCATTCCCCTTCCCATATAGCACAAGTATCACTCACTGTTAATAGTAATGAAAAAGGAAAACAAAACCCCCACCTTCTTCTCCAAATAAAGGATCTTCTGCTTCTCTGCATATAACATGGAGCACTGGCTACTCTGCAACACCTGCAAATCTCAGCGTGGCAGAGGGTATGTCCCTTCATCAGCCCTTCCTTATGCTGAGCTTCCCAGGAAGCCTGGGAGAGGAGCTGCTGGCCATGGAAAGAGCCCTTTCTCCCCATGTTTCCTCTGCAGATCTGCTGCCCTGCGTAAGGCGGATGGGAGGGATGAGGGGGGAGTAGCTGCTCCCTCTGTCCTACATCAAGAGGTGAGCTTGGGGATACTGAGACCTCAGTTCAAGGCACTGGGGGAGGCTGGAGAAAGGTTGGAAAGAAAACTTCACAGAAATCAGGGATGCAGCACATGAGCCACTAAAAAACGCAGCTTGGAGGATGCTGACGTGCTTACTATACCGAGTAAGTTCCCTACTCCAGGCTTTCCCCAGGGGGGGATTGAGGATTACAGATGTGGTGGGAGGATCCGTGTAGCAAGTGTGCCTCTGCATTGCAGGTCATGTCAGCCGGTAAATCAAAGCTCTGCAGTGGCTGGGGCCGGACTGGGGGAGGTGGGAAAGCTCTGGGGTGACTGGAGCTCAGCTGGAACAGAGCCCTCTGTTCCCAGCAAGAGGGGGGTGCTGCTGGGTTTGCCTCAGGGATTCAGCGCAGCAGCATTTGAGTGTGGAGCTGGTGCAGTCGTATTACAGTGGTGCTTCCCCACACGAGCTGAACGGAGGCTGCAGCAGTTGGAGCCAGCAGGTAGCCAGGCTGCTGTTCAACATGCTGGAATGTGCTCTACATCCCAAGGGAAACCTCAGCCCTTCCCCCCACCTCAGAAATACAACCTGGAATTCCTGTGTTGAGCAGATCATGGTTTAGTTTATATCACATAGTGCAGGATTGGAGCAGCTCTTCCCTGTGAGGGTGCTGCGGCGCTGGATGGGTTTCCCAAAGAAGTTGTGGCTTCCCCATCCCTGGCAGGGTTCAAGGCCAGGTTGGACACAGGGGCTTGGAGCAACCTGCTCTAGTGGAAGGTGTCCCTGGATGAGCTTTAAGGTCCCTTCCAACACAAACTCTGGGATTCCATGAGTCTCTAATTCTCTGTGCCTCTGCATCCTGCTTGCAGAGCAGTTCCAGCGTCACTTGGAGATTTCTCTTTATGGAGATAAATCTGTGTGTTACCACTCTGCAGGAAGCACCTTCTATCCTGAAATGGCTTTTATCCCAGTCCCAGATTTTCCCCTTCTTTTAATGGTTTCGGTTTAGATGCTCCTTTTTGCAGTGCGGATTCAAGAGTAGTTGTTCCTGCTCTGGTGTAATTACCTCTGTGTCCTGTAATTGCTTCTCCCTTTTCCATTGTTTATTGAAAAAGGAATGAATTTCCAGGTCTAGTCACATTGGGAATGCTGAGAGCAGCTCTTGTA